ACAGGGGCAGATGCCAAGATCAGATGGCATGAGTTCCAGCTTTCTTTTCCACATCTAAAAGGAGAAAATAAAAGGCACCTTCTTAATATCCCCCAATGTACAGAAAGCCAGCCAAAGGCATAACATATTTCTTTAATCTCATCACTTAATTTCTTCTAAAAATGTTTATTGGGGGAGAGGTAAGGAGACTAAGTACAAATATGCAAGTGTAAGTACTTTATCTGTTTAACTCATATTGTGAAATTTCAAAAGAAACAATTTATAATTTATTTTTACTTAGTAAAAGACTAGTGAGACATAAGCTCTAAATACATTTAAATCCTGCCATAATGAAGAAAAAGGGATTCAAAAAGACTCAGCCACATAAATTGCAAGGTTGGATTACTGTGAGGTTAATAAAATGACAAAGGTGAGCCTATATAACTAGTTGGCTAGGGGTCTCCGTGCAATTCAAATCCATTTGGATCTGGGCTGCGGTTTGGCACCATCTGGTGGCAAGGCCCACTCTAGTATCAATATCCATGGAGTCCTTTGGCTTTCAGGGGCTGGCTGGGGTTTCCAGGGCAGCTGCCCCAATCCCAGGAATTTCCTGGTTAGTGGTATCCATATTTGATGTAGATACGGAGTCAGAAGAATACTGGGTTAAAGGAAACCTGCTTTCAGTTTCCCTGCTTCCAGAAATGGTTCTGTTAGCTGCTTCCCAACCTACCAGTGTCAAGCATCCTAGAGAATAAGGGCTAATTTGTCTAAATTTCTGTTACCATGAATTTCAAAGGATTATTTTAAAGGACAAAAGCTAAAAAATCAAATTCTCAAAAATGTTGATAATATCAATGTTTATGTGGTTATGTGGATTGTTTGGAAGTAATCATGCATGTTATTATAGAAATAATCCCATAAATTTTAAGGTTATAAGTCAATCAATAAAACCCTAACAATTGAATCACAGGACTAAAATTACTTATTTGTAAAACACAAATAATATCCCCTATGTCACAGATCTATCTCATTTCCAGAATTTTCTCTTGAGGCTCAAACCTGAAACAGTGAATTTTTCTATCTGCCTATTACATAGAAATTTAAAATAAAACTAAATTTATCATGTTTTCCTATTAAAGCCTTGTTTTCTTTTAATGTTTAAAAAATTCCATCACCATTCACATTGGCTACCCAATCCAGAAACCTGATGACATATTTAACATCTTCTCACTCCCTAATCCAATCTAGTCACTGAATCCTGCTGATTCCACCTCCTAGACATGTTTCCAGTCTGGGCCACTACTCTCCATCTCTATTGGTACTAATCCAGTTTTATCATCATTTCTCATTCTGATAACACAAATCACCTCAAAAAAGTGGCTTCTGTGTCTATAGCCATATACTCTACTTCTCTAATCACTCTACATTGCAGAGCAGTCTAGTCTCTCTCTCTTAAGAGAGAAAGCACACACACATGTAGAGTTGGGGAGGGCAAGAGGGAATGGGAGAGAGAGAATCTCAGGCAGCCTCCACACTAAGCATCGAGCCTGAGTTGGGGCTTGATCTTACAACCCTGAGATCATGACCAGTGCCAAGATCAGGAGTCAGACGCTTAACCAACTGAACCACCCAGGTACCCCTAGCAGTCTCTTTTTTTATATAAAATCGGATCACTTAACACCCACTCTTAAAATCTTTCAGTTGTTCCCCACTGGTTTTAGACAATGGTCCAAATGCATGATCTGACCCTCTATCTCCCTATTTTATTTTATCTCTTAGCACTCTCTGCCTCTCAGTCTACACTCTAGACATACTGAATTATTTTCAGTTTCTTCAAAAAGCTTCATATTATCTAATCTCCAGGTTTTATCCATGATGAACATTCATTCTCCTAATTCTCTTCCTTCCCCTAATTCAGTCTTACTCTTAGTCGTCATGCAGGTAATAGCATGGGTATTTCTTCTGCCATGAAGTCTTCCCTGATTCTACATGGCCTCATTCTGTGTTTCCTGTCATGTTCTTCATTATCATCATACTTATAACTACTATTTCTCTATTGTCTTTAGGTCTATTGAACAACCAACGTTGTGAAGTCAGAGGACACTGCTTTATCTATGGCATGTATCTGGCATATGGTGGATCACAATAAGTATTTGCTCAATAAGTGAGTATGTTGCTTAGAAAACTCAAATGTAAACTTTTTTTTTTTTTAATTTTTATTTATTTATGATAGTCACACACAGAGAGAGAGAGAGGCAGAGACACAGGCAGAGGGAGAAGCAGGCTCCATGCACCGGGAGCCTGATGTGGGATTCGATCCCGGGTCTCCAGGATCGCGCCCTGGGCCAAAGGCAGGCGCTAAACCACTGCGCCACCCAGGGATCCCAAATGTAAACTTTTTAAACATCAACCTTAGTCTATAGCAGGCTTATTACTCTTTTTTTGGTCTGCATTTTGAACTTTAAAAGTAAGTAACCACAAGGTACAGGGTCCTTCTTACCTAAAACAGGGCTGGAACTAACCAAAATTTTGAAAAAGATGGAAGAATTTCTTTGGCATTCTTTAATCTCTGTATGCTTGTCTTCTAATGTCCTAATGCCCTTGCTAAGGATGAATTCATAAAAATGGCATACTTTAGTTATGACCATGAAGAGCTAAATACAACAGCATAAATACAACAACAGTGATTAAAATCATAAGGTTATATGAAGAATCACAAAAGCCACAAAAGAATATATACAGCATGATTCCATTTATGTGACACAAATATAATACGAAAAACTAAACTATATTTCTCAAGGGGTACATATTTACTGGCAATTTAAATAATAAAAGTATAAGAAAAAGCAGAAAGTGAAGGAGGAAGGGTCTCAAGGACATTTCTGTGGTGTTGACATTGACTACTTGATTCTGATAATGGTTAAACAGGCATTTAATTTGTAATTACTTATCAAGTGTACATTTAAATAAGTACTTTTCTCTTTTCTTTAACTGACTGAAGACAATAAAGACTGAATAAATGGAAAGACAGCCCATGATCATGGATTAGAAGGATCAGTGAAGTGTCCATACTACCCAAAGCAATCTACAGATTCAATGAAATCTCTACAAAAATTCCAATGGCATTTTTTACAGAACTAGAACAAAAGTCCTAAAATTTGTATGGAACCACAAAAGTCCCCGAATAACCACAGCAATCCTGAGAAAGAAGAAGACTGAAGGCATTGTGTTCCCTGATTTCAAATTATATTACAAAGCCAAAGTAATCAAAAGAGCATTGGCACTGGCATAAAAACAGACACATGGATAAATGGAATAGAATAGAAAGCCCAGAAATAAAGATGGCTTTTCAGTAAATGGTGCTGGGAAAACTGCACAGCCATTTTTGCTTTTGTTGTCTGCACTTCTGGTGTCAAATTCAAAAAATCATCGCTAAGACTACTGTTGACGAGCTTACTGCCTATGTTTTCTTCCAGGAGTTTTATGGTTTCATGTTTTACATTCAAGTCTTTAATTCATTTTGAGTTAATTTTTATGTATAGTATAAGATACCAGTCCAATTTCATTTTTTCACATGTGGTTGTCCAGTTATTTTAAATGCTCAAAAATATTTCAGCATCATCATAAAACTCTCTCTCTCAATGTTTTATTAAAATAACAATTTAACAGTGATTTAAGTTATCTTTGCTAGTTTTCTACCCAAAGGATAATTCTGCACATGTAGTTCTCACATATTTTCCCCAGTAGAGGCCAACTACAGTACTAGAGATTTTCCCCCTGGAATTGAGGGGTAAGACCCTCAAATTTTTTGCTACTATGCCTCTATTAACACGTTACCATGATAATTACAGAATTAAGTCTGATTCAAAGTCTTGCTTGCTGACAAACTTCAAAATATCATATACTCAAATCAGTCCTAATAAACTAGTATGGCAATTAAGTCAATTTCAAAATAATTTTTTAAAAGATTTTTATTTATTTATTCATGAAAGACACAGAGAGAGAAAGAGAGAGAGAGAGAGAGAGAGAGACAGAGACACATGCAGAGGGAGAAGTAGGTTCCATGCAGGGAGCCCGATGCAGGACTCGATCCCGGAACTCCAGGATAACACCCTGGGCCGAAGGCAGGCGCTAAACTGCTGAGCCACCCAGGGATCCCCTCAAAATAATTTTCCCACTAAAATATAAACTTTTAAAAATCATATGAAGTATAATGATATTATATAAAAATAACTGTTAATGAAATGAGTAGCATTTATTTCCCCTTAATACTACCAACCACCAACTAAGGGAACCTAATATACACTAATCTAAAAGTGATTAAAATGAATAAAAATGATCTTCAAGATTATCTAATATAATGCCTGTCAGGTCCAGCAGATAAATGAGACATATGTAATATTTCATATTATCATTCCAGCTGTTAAAAATTTCTTGGAGAAATCATTGGTGTAATATGGGAAGAACTACTGGTATCTCATTTCCTTCTATCTCTGTCCTCAATCTGATCTGCCATAAAGGCAAAAAGAAAAGTTACTAGGGTAATGAAGAGATAATGGGAATACCAGAGTAAAGAGGCTTAACTTAAGGTCTTATAAACCTTGTTCTTAGCTAGTTATCAAAGATTTTAGAACTTTAATGTTCCATTATATTTTAATTTAGATTTAACAAATTTTCTCTTAAAAGAGACTGTCATAGAAATAGTTTAATTTCAATAAAATATGTTTCTTTTTTTTAAAGATTATTTATTTATTCATTCATTCATTCATTCATTCATTCATTCATTCATGAGAAGCCGAGAGAGAGAAAGAGAGAGAGAGAGAGGCGGAGACACAGGCAGAGGGAGAAACAGGCTCCATGCATGGAGCCTGACATGGGACTCGATCCTGGGACTCCAGGACCATGCCCCGGGCTGAAGGCAGATGCTTTAACCGCTGAGCCACCCAAGGATCCCAAAATATAAGTTTCAAACAAAAAGAAATAAATTTCCTACTTTATCTACAAATTTCCCACTTTTATACCTGTTTTCCCGTTCATACATTTCCCGAGAGGCACTTCGAAGTTGATCAATTTCTTGATTAGTTTTCAATCTGATTTGTTCCAACTCCTCATGTAGCTTATTCTCATATTCTGTTTTATAATGGTCTCTGCAAGGTATCAAAAGTAATATCCATGAATTTTGCTTCTGTAAAAGAAACATATTTTTGTCCTTCACGTAATATTTATTGTCTTATGTCCAATATGTTCTATATACAATGTTATTTGAAAAACACAGCTGTTAGAGATATTGCCCAAAGACTTAATCACTATATAAAATGTTAGTTCATGTTGAATAATCATTTATCTTCAAAAATATTTTACTAAAGTTTTTAATGCCTGTGACCAGAGACTTGAAAACTGAAGCATATGGAATGCCCTTCATTTAAAAATAATCTGGTGTGGTACATGTTGAGAGACAAATAAAAATTAAAAACAAAACCAAAATGACTCTAATTGACTCTTTATAAAACCTTTCCTTCTAATAAGCACAACAACCATAACCACTGTGATCTCTTAGCAAAGTCACAAAGCATTACCTAGGTCATTAGCAGGAGCACAAACTGATGAAAAATACCACAGGCTAGGGAAAAAGTTATGAATGTGTGAACTTTTAAAGGGTAAAATTTTAAATTTGTTTTGGATTTGTTGTGCTGATAAAAATAAGTATCTATCTCAAGGAGTACAAAGGCTACTGGTATAAAAGAACTCTAATAGCTTATACACCTGATTGAAGAAAGAAGACAGAATTGAAATGCAGGAGTCTGATTCCAGAGCATGTAAGCAATGCTGTCTCCTCATCTTTCTGTTTTACATGGTCAGGAAAAGGTCAGCTTAGCTAGGTTCTGCACTGTTAGATTTTTTTTTTTTCCCAAAAGACTTCTACAGAGATACTTTCTTAAAAATAAACCATTTATATATAGATCTTAGTTGTAGGGAATTAAAAAGGTTATGTCATAAGAAAGCACAGTAGTTATAGCATATATACACTGACCTACCAGAAATAGGCATTTTTCATTATTGGAAAAATACCCACCATGTCTTAAGAAAAAATCAACTACAAGAAGAACATATTACAAGGAAACAAAATGAACTATTACCCGAATATAGTCCTATATTCCTTTAAAAAAAAAAATCATTGTTTTTCCCCAAAGCTAAGAGTTTCCTTAAAGAAGCCACTGTTAATTTATATAAATTTATGTGAAAAGTATTGTAAATCTTGCCTGGATGTTACATATTTTTCATACATCTCTTCTCTAGCCTTTTTGGTTTCTTCAAGTTGAACCTGAAGTCTTTCTAGGCGATCTTCTTCATGGGCACAGCGAACACTAAGCTCCATGTTTTGGCGGTTGAGATAGTCTTTATCTTTTTGCAGTAAAGTAACAGTCTGCTGTAAGGTGGTTACCTACATATGTGCAGAGACAGAGAGTGTCCAGAGAAACTTTTTCTTACTTTTCAAGGTTTACCATATTATTTGCTTTCACTTGGGCTTTCACTTGCCACATAAAAAGGGCTAATTCTTATTTTGCAATTTGCCATCCAAACAGAGCTACTAAGGACTGGTCAAAAAGCAAAAATGTTCCTCCCACAATTCTGCCCTGTGTTATGTCCACAATCGCTGTACGATAAAATAATGTGACTCTATAAACTTACCTCTTTTGATAATTCACTTCTTTCTTTAGCTTGAATTATGTGAGAGGCTTCAAGTATTTCATGTTTTCTCCTTAACTCAATTATTTCCTGTTCAAGTCCATCACGCTCACTGTAGAATTCAAATACACTTATTTATTTTTACTAAAATAAAATTCAAACACATATGTATATTTTATATACCATTTTATAACGAACACTGAAAACGGGTTGCCTATGTTTCAGGAAACCGAACAGAGATACCGACAGTAGGGCTTTAGTGTCATTCTATGAACAATGAAGTATCTGCTTTTCAAATTGAGAAGACTGTTCAAGACTGTTCAGATATATAAATATAAATTTATTATCCTTAAAAAATAAATATGTAAACTACACTAGCCAGTAAAATACATAATAAAACCTTCTAAGGTACACTCTGGTATCTTTTCATTAATCATTAACAATCTTACCTGGAAGCCAAAACTTTTAAAGAATTTATATATGGCTCTAGGCTTTCAGTTCAGTTAGCATCAGAAAGCCCTTAATTCATCACTCAGATTGCATAGCAGATACATAAGGACACATTCTTGTGACTGTTTGGTTCACAAATTGTTTATGATTACCCAGAGATTCTACTTTCCATTTGCAGATAAGCTCTTTACTCAAAACCATGAAACCAAGAATTGGAACAAACCTATAACTGGTATCTTAAAAAGTGAGCAGAGAACTAGACTTACTCTTAATTTATCCTCTCTAGTCAGAATCAGTTCCTTTGTACTTGATGTCATTTACTCACCTGGCGTTTCCATGTTGATGGCTGCTAAGAAGTGTTTTTCTTTTCATTAGATTTTCAATAACTGGTTTAGAAAACTATTTTCTTCTAATGAACAAAGTTATGTTTATTGAAGAAAAGTGAGCAAAATGCAAGTTGCAAAATAACAATCACACATAAACTCACAAAGGATGACTGACAGTATCAATATTTTGGTACATATTACTTTACGTGTTTCCTGTGTTTACACACAAATACTTGTTTTCTCACATGGTAATGGATCACATTCTGTTTGCTATGACTTTTCTTATGTAAAAAAATAGAGTATAAATCATGATATAGCAAAACATCCATGATCTTGCTATATACAGCTGACAAGAGTTAACATTGGTCTTCATTTGCAATAAAGTTTTTTTTTTTAAGATTTTATTTATTCATGAGAGACAAAGAGAGAGAGAGGCAGAGAAATAGAGGGAGAAGCAGGCTCCCCACAGGGAGTCTGATGTGGGACTTGATCCCAGGACCCTGGGATCAAGACCTGAGCCAAAGGGAGAGGTTCAACCACTGAGCCACCCAGGTCCCCCTTGTTTTGCTTTTTAAAAAGATAAGACACTACAGGTAAACTTAAAATTGGTTACATTTTCCTCACTATTCCTGTATCATCCCCTAGAAATGATGATAAATTTAGTGTTTCCATATTTTTAAAAGTACTTTTACTCACTAATAGTTTTTTTTTTTAAGATTTTATTTATTCATGAGAGAGAGAGAGAGAGAGAGCGAGAGAGAGAGAGAGAGAGAAAGGGAGAGAAAGCCAGAGACACAGAAAGAGGGAGAAGCAGGTTCCAAGCAGAGAGCCTGACGTGGGACTCAATCCTGGGACTCCAGGATCACGCCCTGGGCCAAAGGCAGGCGCTGAACTGCTGAGCCACCCAGGGATTCCAACTCACCAATAGTTAACAGTCATACTCTGTACTATTTACTAAATATTATTTTGTCATATTTATTCTCTCCCTCTCTGTCGTTGATACAGGTGAATAAAGACACACACACATATATACATGTATACATACCACACACACACGTGTGCAATTTTTCTCAACTATTTAAAAGATATATGCAGACATTAAATCTCTCTATCCCTAAATAATTTGGTGTGAATTTTCTAAGATTAAAGATATTATCTTCTATAATCACAGTATTATTAGCCCTTATACAATAATATATTATCCATTTTCCAAGTTTGTCCCAATTGGCCTTCTTCCCATCTGGTTTAGGATCCAATGTATTATGTATTGCATTTGGATGCCAGGTACCTATAGTCTCCTTTACCTCTGGGGAGTTCCTCAGTCAACATTGTAAAAGATATGGAAAGGTTATTTGTAGTGGGAAAAGGCGGCTATTTGTAGAGCACTGGCCAATTGTTTCATAGAATGTCACTCAATTTTAATTTGTCTGATGTTTCCCTATAATTAGATTCAGGTTAAACATTTGAGGCAGAGATACTACACAAGTGATAATGTGTCCTCAGTATGCCACATAAAAAGTACATGAAGTACATAAAGCCTCAGTATACAAAGAGGCATATGATGTCACTATTTCCCATGATTGGTGAAAATAACTCTGATCACCTGGTTAAGGTGGTATCTACCAAAGAATTCAACTATAAAAGTAACTTCTTGCCCTCTGAAATTAATAATCTGTGGGAAACATACTTTGAGGTTGTATAAATATTTTGTTCCCCAAAATACTTTTACCCAATGGTTTTAGTTTCCATTGATGATTCTGAATCAAATAGTATAAGGCTACAAAATGGTAATTGTAATATGCATAAATTTTTATTGATTGGCATTCTACTGTAAAGATTCTCTTTATTATTAGTAAATAATCTGTTGACTGATCTTATTCCAGTCAACAGATTATAACTCATTATTGTTAATACTCATTTTGATACTCAAGTTGTACCATATTTAGACAGTTGAAACCACCTCAATTAGCTACTATGGCATTGATTTGGAATTAGAGGTATCAGTATGATCTGTGATCTTACCCATAGTGTAAGCCATTCTCCCTATTCCCTCTCCATCACCTCTTTACTGAAAGGGCCTAGAAAGGATGACCAGCATCCAAATCTTATTAATTTCTCAATAGTATTTCCCACTAAAAGGAATCAGGACTTATCAGATAAGGGGTTGAGGCAATGAAATTAGAAAATTAGAAATTAAAACTAAACCTGAGAAAATTATGTTATGCCAGAAAGTAAGGAAAAAAAAAAGATGGACACATCTTTTTAAAATTAAAAAAATTTTAAAAAGATGGACATGCTTTTTAAAATACAGTATTATGTGTCTGACTTATCCATATAGATACATTCAGATCTAATTTAATGATTTTCACTGCTATGTTGAATTACATTATAGAAATAAATCCTAACTCACTTCACATTCTGTTGTTGAAAAGCACCTGAATTCTTTCTAATAATGCTATGGTTAACATCCACTTTCCTGTTTCTTTTTGCACATTTGTAAGAATTTATCAGGGACATAAAAGTGATCCCTCACCTCTGCCAGTTTACCTTATATATTTGTAACCAGAACATGTCTTTATTCATTCTATTGAGTGAACCAAAGCATTTGGTTTGAGCCCCTCTTGCTTGTTTTTCTGTTCTACTTCTAGCACATAAAGATGCTTATCACGTTTTTGATCAGGGCTATGTTTTCCCTTCCTAGGTTTTTATTATAGAAAATAAAACACACACACACACACACACACACATATAAATAGAGATGATAAAATGAACACTCTGCTCTCTTCACCGGGCTTCAATAATTCCCAACTCATGACTCATCTTCGTTCATTTATCCTTCATTCATGGCCATGCTGATTATTCTGATGATTAGGCTTTTTCATTTTTTCTTTTCACATTTTACCTTTTACTGCCACAGATTTATAGTAGCAGAGAGGACATCAAAACACCAACTCAAAATATAATCTTACCATCACAATTTACTTACTTTTGAAATGATTTTTTTTGAAATCCAGCTTTATTCAAGAGCCACAGATTTTGAGCTCCAATAATTATATTTTGACATTAATACATACATAACAGTATGTACTACATGTCAGTCATGCTGGTAGTAGGAATACCAATCTGCTTTTTGAAATTTACTTTTGTTGTTATTTAATTTTTAAAGTGTCCATTCCTTTAATTATTTTATTTATCAACATTATTCTGTAATATTTTAATAATATTTTATATTTTGTAATATTAAATATGTAATATAATTATTTCATATTCATTTATAATTATAAGCTATATATTTTATACATTATCTGTATTATCTACTTATATGTTATTATACATAAAACACATTATATATTAACACATTTATATATTATAAATTAATGTTAATATTAATTATAATATAGTACAATTAATATAATATATTAACACAACATATTAGACATAATATTAATTATATCATATGCCATATATAATTAATATAAATATTTAATAAATATTAAGTGACTACTATATTTCAAGAATCATTTTAGGTGCAGGTACTGACAACAGTGAACAATTAGAATAATGTCTCTATTTATAAATACTTTCATAAATATTTCTTTATTGATCTTTGTTTTTATAGTACATTTATTGGTATTAGTGCCCTCTAATAGATGACAAAACTCTGGCTTAGAATGATAAGAGATGTACCTAGGGACACACAGCTAAGTAGTGGCTCATTAATGTTCAGACAATAGAAAAGTTACATTCCAGTAAAAGGAAAATTCTTTGCTACTTAGTAGCACTGGGAAACGTTCTCAGAAAGTATTATTTTTTCAAAGTGTGTATGCCCTTTGTCAGAAAGGAACAGCTAAAAAAAAACTTCAGATAAAACTGAAGTATTTAAATTGATTTCATAAAACAAAAATAATCATCAAGTGAGATTTAAAAAATATTTACACACATGGGACTTTACTGGGTCTCCATCTCCTAAGACATTACATTTTAAAAGAGAGCAGAAATTTCCAAATAAAATAAAAGCTGATATAAAAAATACAATCTAAACCCAATAAACTGCCAAAAACACATGCTTTTTGTGCTATGCAGAATAAGGTATATGTCAAGAGAATGAAAGGACAAGCCACAGACTGGGAGAAAATATTTGCTAAAGACATATCTGATAAGGACTATTATCCAAAATATACAAAGTATCTTAGAACTCAACAGTAAGAAAACAAATAACCCAATTAAAAAATGAGCCAAAGACCTTAACAGACACCTCACCAAAGATATACAGATTGCAAATAAGCACATGAAAAGATTATCCATATCATATGTCATCAGAAAAATGCAAATTAAAACAACAGTGAAATACCCCTACACACCTATTGGAATGGCCAAAATCCAGAATGCCAAAAACTGGCAAAGACGCAGAACAATAGGAATTCTTGTTCACTGCTGGTAGAAATATGAATGGTACTGCCACTTTGGGACAGGAAGTTTGGTGGTTTCCTACAAAACTAAAATATTCTTACCATACAATTGTGCTCCTTGGTATTTACCCATAGAAGCTGAAACTTATGTCCATACAAAAACCTGCACATGGATGTTTATAGCTGCCTTACATGTAACTGCCAAAACTTGAAAGCAACCAAGATATCCTTCATTAGGGGAATAGATACATAAATGGTGGAATATCCAGACAATGAAATATTCAGCACCAAAAAGAAATGAGCTATCAAGTCATGAAAAGACGGAGAGGAAATTTAAATGTACATCACTAAGTGAAGAATCTTAAAAGGTTCCATACTGTATGATTCCAAATATATGAAATTCTGGAAGAGTCAAAACTACGGACACAGAGAAAGAGTAAGATACAAAGTGGAATTAATGACAGTAAAAATTCAGGTGATTTTGATGCATGTAAAAAAGGAGAATGACAATAGCCACCTTAACAGCTTACCTTTTGACTTTATCATAGTTTTCTTGGCGGTAGTCACCTTGCTGAATTAACTGTTTTGTGTCTGCTAATTCTAACACCAAACGTTGACATCTAATTTGAAGCTCAGAGTAATTTCTTCGATCATCCTCATAAGTCTAAAAATCAAAACAATAATACAAAATTTCAAGCTAAACATAGTTGACCAAATTCTTTATTGAATTCTTATGTTATCTGCGAATATCCTTATAATTAAAAAAAAAATTCAATTCTTCTGTGTAGTAATTTTCCCTACTTGAAGATAGACGATCTTAAACTGACAATAGTTTGTAAGTTCCTTTGTTTAAAACTTGAGTTCCTTTTTTCATAGAAAAAAGAGGGCAAGTATGCTTTGGTTACTAGAATAATACATAAAATGACCAATAATGTTAAACAGCTTTTTTGTTTGAGTAACTATTACATGCCAAAGACACAGAAATGAATAAAGCACAGTCTCAGTTCTTGAGGAGTTCACAACTTAAGAAATGAAGGGCCATTTGAATATCAAATATCCACAGTGAAAAAGTTACTGAATAATCATGCAGTTTCAGTTGTGGTGTTCAGCAGAAAAGTAATTCTGTGGTACTTGGAACAATATTTCTCCATTGATCTTCCTTCCACTAACCAGACCAGTAGAAAGGGATTACAGAGATATGGGGGAAGGGTAGAGGGAAAATTGTCAAAAACCACAACCTGGCCTCGCTTACTACAAACTTCATTTCTTACCATTTCTCATGTTCATACCCAGCATCCCTAAAGAAGATCTTAAGTTCTTTAACATACCATGCTTCTTCTACCTTGTTCTCACTGCCTGAATAGCTGTGTATTATCTGAATAGTTGCTTACTATCAGATTAGTTTTCTATACACCTCACCAGAGTATAAACATCTTAAGGGCAGGGACTTTGTCTTATTCACCCCTGGATCTCTATAATTTTATACGGTACTTGGTATACACAGGAAGAATCAAATAAATGCTTCTGAATAAATAAGGAGTAAATAAATACGGGAATGGGGAGGAAAAACAGGACACAGGGACAGAGTTCCTCCTTATTTCTGCCTTTTGGACTCATCAGATCTTACAAGCAACTGTCAACTTCACCCTTAGAACCTGTCATGTTAAATACATCCTGTTCCAAGTCATTCTTTCTTTAGTAGCAGACCAGGTCAGTGTGGCCACATTCATTCCATAAATACTGACCGAATTATTTCTACCTGACTGATCCTTGATTAGAAATACTGTAGATACAAAGATAAGATACTGTTCTTGTCTTTTTTAAACTATTAAACATAACTTTGAAATGCTGGCTCCCAAATTTCTATCCAAGGGCTGTGTGAGAAATGCAATTATAGAAAAACTATACACACACATACTGGTATATTATTTTGGTATAATATTATGTTCTACTGAGCATTTCCTCATAAGAATGGAATGTTACTATAGTATTAATTACAGGATCATAACTGAGGATACTCTATCATCTGCCCAAAGGATCATCACATACATCGTTTCAGGCCTAAATCCCAGAAGACACTTTAGTTCCCCCTGAAGAATGCTTTACCTTTCTAAATACTACTAATCATGTAACAGTTTTGGAGCAGTGTATAGTGTTATAGTTGGGAAAGCAAGCTCCAGAATTCAACTGTCTAGAGTAGAATTATCTGCAGTAAGACTTTGGGCAGGTTTACCTTTCAATATTCAGTGTCCTTATCTACCTCACAGAGTACTGATCATATCAAGTAATACATGTAAAGTGCTTATAAAAATTCCCAAGACATAGTAAATAATCATTAACTATAAATTAGTATCATAATGCTTCTTCTTTACTTTGGCTTCTAGAGAGATTATAGAACCAAACTGATAGCTTAACTTTAATAACTGCACAAAGACCGAGAAAGAATCCTGGGGCATATAAATACTTAAAAGGTGGCCACAAAATAAAGAGCATAAGGCACACAAGGCAGTATTAACAGAATCAAAGGGTAAGGTGGGGGTGTGTGTTGCAAATATCTGCAGAAGAAAGTGCTGTGGGGAGACAAGTAGTCAGTGGTACTGAGTACTACCAAGAAAAAAAATCCAGTAAATAAATGCATTAAGTATTCAGGGGTATGGATGGAAAAGACTGACACAGACTAAATAAAGCAAAATATCTGAATACTCATCTCAATGTGTCCTTGTTTTGTGCTATTTTATATGTATTCTATCACTTTATACTTACTGTTATGACTGGGTACAAATATTACCCACATTTTTACAGATGAGGAAACCGGGGTTTAGAGACGATAGAAGTCTCAAAGTTCATCAACAGCAGCGTAAAGGACTCCAATCGAACGTTGTCAAACACCAAACCTGCAGGCAACCCTCTCTTTAATTAAAATATAAAAGTGAGAAAGTACAGTAGCTAGAAAATAGGGATAAATAAAGGTTTTTAAAAGATAAGGTAAGCTTGAAAATGTTCAAATATTAGTGGGGAAGAATGAATAGCGAAAGAAAGATAGACACTGGAGAAAATAGGCATATGCAGGAGGCTCTAAGAAGGCCACAGGGAATAGGATCCAGAGCTCGAATATAGGGATTAGTTTTAGATCAGCAGACATGCTCATTGTGGCAGGCTTTTTTCCAGCAGATAGAGAATTAAAAACTTGAATCTGATATCCTTACATAGCTCTTATCAATTTGTTAAAAGCCACAGAATTACTCATCACCCTAACACTTCATATATTTATATTATCCACTTGGTTCCTAAAAGTTTATGATTTTTCCATTCCTTGAAAGCAAGACTCCTCCTGCTATAAACAGTTAAGAACAAACAAAACGGAGTGAGTACAGATGTAATAAATTTGTTGTTTTGTGGCAGAAAACTGTGGGGGTTCTCATCTGAGGACTTCCAATTTCTCTATGAAATGAAATACCAAGTCATCTGCTGAGAGTGGAAAGCTGGAGATGTGAGGAGAGTGGTGAATGTCTAAAATGGCTGTGAAAAGTGAGAGGACCAGGAAAAACAGAACTGCAGCACAACTGTGTGTTAAGGTAATGATAAACTTGTGTACTTGTTATTGCCTATATGATTTTTTTTTAATCCAGTAGGGCTCAGTTGGAAAATGAAGAGTTAAGATTTTGTCAGGTGGGTTTGATAAAAAGACAGTTGGAAAGAAGAGAATCTTGGCAAGAGAAAGGTTTAAGACTGATAATATGATGAAGAAGTAAGAAAATAAAATTAGGAACGGATTGATAAATTATATGAATTGGAAATTCTGTTAAAGATTAGTTGGAAGCAAAGGATCAAGAAACATGAAATAGAGGAAGTAGTATGTTCAGTGATCAACCTGAATTGTTAACTTCAGAAGTAATGAGTTCTGGGTGACAAGGAATAGAATATGGGCCATGAGATTGAGTGCTAAAGTGGAAAAGAGTCAATCACTGAAGTTGAGAAAATCAATAAAATGCCAAGGCCATGTGGTTATGGATAAATCATAGGAGCAACTCAGGCAGGAGCAAGGGTTCCACTAAATAAAGAACAATATCCCTTGGTGGTCTGCTAATGAGGAAGGTTGAGGTGTGGTAGCCAGATGACATGAATGCCCAAAGAAGCAGGGGTTTTTGTGAGAGTAGAAGTGCCAATATCTAAAATTATAAAGACTTAGAGAAGACATCAGAAACTGGCCCTAAAATACTTAGGACATAGAGTCCTGGTCCAGAGACTGCTCCTGGTCCAATTCCATGGGAGCTATATAAACTTTCTTTAAATATAAACCCCGTATAACCAAGTATAAACAGAGGTCCAGTATAGGAATGTATATATTCTAACAATACTTTCCTTACGACTTTTCAACAGAAAAATTTCCCCTTAAAATTAATACTTCATATTTTGAAAAAATATGTTTCACTTAGTAGTAACAAGTAAAATAGGTTAAAGTACAGCACTGGAAAATAAGGACAGTAACATCTTCCTTTGAAATGAATGAAACCCCATGACTGTGTACAACTTCCAGGTTAAGGCTAAAGAGAAGAGAAAAGATTACTTTGTATTATCCCTATAGATGCTTCCCTGTTTTGAACTCAAGATCAACTTATTTGGGAAGATTCACACCCCAAACCCTATTTTGATATTTGTCCTTTATTTTGTCATAGCATCTGGTTCTTTCTGTCAGAAAATGTACCACATGTGCTGTGAGCAGCCATTACTTACTCAAGGTTTTCTATAATCCTAGTACCTAGCTAGCATTCCACCTATTACATCAAGATTTGTAATTAATGTCTGTGGAAAAGAAGGAGCAAAAGAGGACATTAAATTGACTAAAACAAATGAAGTAAACTTAACCTTTTCAAACATAAAGGGATACACATAAAATTTCCAGTCACCAGCCCTAACAGCAAATTTCTACCTAACAATGAACAAGTTAACAGCAAGTCTCAATTTCAACTTTCTTTTTTTTGTTTTAATATTTTATTTATTTATTCATGAGAGACAGAGAGAGAGAGAGAGAGAGAGAGACTCAGAGACACAAGCAGAGGGAGAAGCAGGCCCCATGCAGGGAGCCTGATGTGGGACTTGATCCAGGATCTCCAGGATCGCACCCTGGGCTGAAGGCGGCACTAAACCACTGAGCCACCCGGGCTGCCCCCCTCAACTTTCTTTTGTAATAAAGAAAAAAAAAATTACATGGGGAAAATAAAGGACAATCCAAGTCACTGAGAAGATTTTAAATGTTGTCCAGTTTTCTACATATCTAGAATGGAAATGACGTTGACTGCCAGGGTTAATGTTAACTTTTCCATCTCTTAAATTATTCATATGAGGAAATAATAGCAGACTATCTCCAGTCTGAAAAAAGTAAATATATTATTGTAATTGCATTTTTTCTTGTATTGCCTATAAACCTCATCTTTCCCCACATCCACCTAAGACCCGGTGTTCCTTGAAGATCTGCTTTATCTCTGTACATCCAGTAGATGTACAGACATAGTGGTTGCACTGGACATGTTTGCAAAAGTAACTACTGTTGAAATATAAATGGACTATGCAGCATTAGCATTTAAAATAACCATCTTCAGCTATAAGAAAAAGTGACTTTAAAAATTAAGTATTTCATACATTATCAGTTTTCCAACTGAAATT